TATCTGCCTGAACATTGACTGAGACCACCGCGTATACCGCGCTCCATGAACATGATCATGTCAATATCAGTGAGCAACTCAAACTTTACACGCGTATGTTTCAACATCGCGTCCCACGTGAAACCAGGCAAGGTGTAATAATGTGCGGGATCGAGACCGTAACTCGCGACGCAACTTTCGCGGAAATTTTCGAAAATGTTGGCTAATAACAAGACATCGGTTTTCAAGTACAGATCACTGTACTCGCCGAGAGTTCGGATGGAGAATCGCTGCCATACGTTCGCCGCGTGAGCGTAATCGCTCTCGGATACGGTATCGCCCGTTAACGAACTGTAAAAAGATTCGCGCGGTGGTAAGAGCGTGTCCTGCAATTTTTCGGCACAGTCAACGTACTCGTACGGAAAGACACCTTTACGAGTCAGTAATTTAAATTCATCGTTCGAAAGTGTTGAAAATTTTGAACGTATAATTTTTAATTTGTCTTTATCGAGATATGACGCTAATTTATCGAGACTTGTACTGAGAAATTTGAAAGAATCAATAAAACGTAATTTTACGCAATTTTTTTGAGAATTATTTTCAGTTTTATCCTTAGTGCTATCGACATGTTTCGTGAAGGAGATGTATTTTTCTTTGGTTATCGATAATACATCTACGCGTCCTTCATATGCTGTAGCGATTTCCTTAATTATAAAATGCGCGTCGTAGCCCGATAAATTGTGGAAAACGATCGGAATATATAATGAATTTTTATAATTTAAATTACAATTTAAATGCGCTGGACCGCGATATCTACCGGTTAAGTGGCAATGATCGCGTACCCGCGTGTCGTCCGACGCAAACGGTTTCTCGCAAATGTGACAACGCGTCGCGCTACGGTACGCCTCCCATTGTTCTTTCGACAACGGCACGTTCCATGGGCACGTTGGAGGATACGATATTTTTCACGCGATGCGCCAAATCGTCGAGTTGTCGCGCAAACCACGCTATACAATCTTTGTCGCGACGGAACTGATACGACGATAACGCGTCATCGTACGAGCAACGCACGTAGTAGCCTATGCTGAATACCTCGTGCCGTTGATACGCGTACGACGACGCATCTTCCCTGTCGGGTTCCGTCTTCCGTAAAACGCACTCCAGGTCGGCGTAAACGACGAATGGGACGCGCTCCTTGTTGCAATGGTTCCCAAATTGGAGCCACTTTTCGTCCTCGCTCGGCAGCCGAATAGCGCAATCGTTGATCTTCTGGCAGTCCGTTGTGTGCGACTGCAATTTCTCATTCGTGCCGAAGTAATGCAAGCATCTAAAAATAACAAAAAATTATAACAGTTACCTATATTTTATTAATAAGATGGGAAATTATAATAATTTTTTAAGGTGTACATACCGATCGCAGAAATATTTCTTGTTCTTTTTTTTGCTTAGTTGCGAGCTCACGAGATGCGACAGGTTCTTGATCCATGCAAAGTGGCCGACACCGTCGTCGCGTGGATCTTGCATGTACAGAAGATTGACATGCTTGTCCTTCCTGTCACTGGTGAGCCGCAAAGGAAGAACTTGTTTATTCTCGATGCCGTATACATTGATCGACACCGCGTTCAACCGTTCGAATTTCAGAATGTCTTTGAACGTAATCGGAAATTCGATACCCGCGAGATTCAGCACCGTCGTATAATGCGGATACGATGGCTCTCGCTCCGCATGCTTTTCAGCCGGGTACAGAGCGGCGACCACCGACCACGCGAAGCACGCATTGTCCATCGTTCTAACGTTGATTACCGCTCGTTTCGTCGCTATTTCTCGCGGCACCTCGAAGTAACATCCCGCGCGCATGGGATTTAGTTTGTTCACATTCACTATCAAATTGAGGATTCGCGATAATGCCCACCCGCTGTCGCGTTCCTGGAACTCTTCGAGTGATGTCAACGTGGGTTCGATGATATGCTGCTCGTACCACTCGTGCAAATCGGTGTATCGGTATATCTCGCTGTTCTTAGTGTTTATACTCTTAATGTCACGTTTGATGTTTGTTATAAACTCGCCATTGAACGCGGTGTTCACTTTTGCACTACCGTGTCTTTCTACCGCGTCTCGCACACGTTCGAGCACTATTTCTCTCGCGTCTTTCAAAAACCTCCGCGGCTCGATGTAATCGACGTTGACCACAGCACCCGTCGATATACGGTTTTTGAACGCGGCGTCGATCTCTCGGCAGACGAGAGATCTTTCGTCGCGACTCGCGTACCCGCTACCAACGTGCACGAAACGTCGCTCTAATCGTGTCTTTGCACCCGCGAGTCGCGCGATCCTCGCCACCATGAATTGTCTGTGTCTAACGGTAGGGCGCGGACGCTTGGCACGACAAAGCTCTTCGAGCCGCTCGATGCACTCGTCGCATCGTTGCAGCCACGCGAAACATTCCACCAGAGTAGCGACCTGGCTGCACTACTCCAGCAGTTCGCGTTCCACTCGCTCGTGATTTTCCATGTTTTTTTTTTTCTTTAGATCACATCACACTCTTCCACGGAGCACTTGCACGTGACTCGTTCACACACGTTGACATCACTCGAAGAGTTCCAGAAAATCATAATGTTCTACTACTTTTTCGTCATGTTCGTATGCGAAAATGCACTGTTCACACTTAAAGCATCGATCGTTGCATCTGTCGAAAAATAGCTTTGTAAAATTGCGATCACGAAACTCTATCCATATATTGTCGATAATCAGCAGTTCAACGCACTTTTCACTACCCGCAGGAATCTTAATGCAGGTATAGTAATCTCGGCTTTTATCTACGATTTTCTTCACCCAATAATAATCGTCCTTTATTACATTGACATTTCTATTCCGCCAATGCCTCTTTTCATATTCATCGTCCTCGTAACATTTGTCTCGTAACCATGGATACACTTTCTGTCGCACAAATAAAGGCCCGGCAAAAATGGGTTCTCTGATAACTGTTCCAGGTTTCTCACTACGTATACCTAATTCACGATCGCGTAGGAATTGCACTGGCGATATTCGTGCACCTATGTCTCTTTTTTGCAGATTACCGAGAACATACAGCACATCATCTACGTTAGAGTCACACATATTTTTCAGTAGTGTCTCGCTCACAATAATGTTCACAATAGTTTTTTCAATGTGTGCAGAGTGGACACATGCTGCATGGAAATATAGTATACATTGACACTCCACAATTCGTGCAAGATCGGCCGCCTAGCGCATCAATATAATCGATGTCGTGCTTCCTTACAAGATACATTCCTACAACATCGATGTCAGCCAAACGTATCATGCATGCCGCACACACATTCAAGGCACCACCGTTGTATAGTAGCACTGGATCATGCAGTGTTTAGTATGACCGTTCAGTGCGCGGATTTCTGGAGACGACACAAATTTTTCTGCGTGATCCATATCGTACTCATTCAAGTCGCTAACACAACCAGTATCATCGGATAGCACTTCTTCGTCGGAATCTTGGTCCATTATGTCCTCAAAATCTACATCGATTTCTTCTAACACTTCGAACACTTCATCTCTGATATTCGCGAACTGTTCAGGATCCACGTTTCTAATGTGCTCGACTACGTTGGCTATGTCCTCAACGTTCGCACGATGATCACCCATACTTTTTTCCACTATTCTTATTGCGATCGATTCGTTCGTCTTCCAGAGCACAACTGCGGAACTGAGCGCTTATAACTCATTATATTTATATTTCATTTGCGACTTCTTTGTCCCTTTGCCTATTGAGTCATACTTTTTATTTAGAAGTAGATAAGACAACATTTTGCGAGCGATTCTAGTTTATATAAACAACATCAACGCTTCTTTTAACGTGTCGCTACATGCCGCTACATGTCGCTACATCGATCTCTCTCTTCTCAGAAAAAATCGTTATCGACACTTCTTCGAAGAAATTTAAGGGTTGTGGGAACCTAGTGTGATTTCATACGCTTCACTGGGGTATCACTTTCATTTTACTGTAGAATTATGTTTCGCTTAGCAGCCGAACATCGGCGCTTCTCTTAACGCGTCGCGATGTATCATCGATCTGATAGTGTATATAAACAGTGTATATAATTTTTTTCTTTCATTCGTAAATTTCGATTACGAGTGATAAGACATGGATCGTGTAAAAGAATATATACATCGAAAATCGACCGAGGGCAAGGGGTACAGTTCCTTGTCACCAGGTCCACCAAGTCCATCATCATCGAGGGAAAAAGCGCGATATTGGGAACGTCCAGGTGAAAAAGCATCAAAATCACCAACATATTCATCATCATCATCATCATCATCGTCATCATCATCAACATCATCATCAAAGTATAAGTCATAGCTAGCGATGTTCGAGCCGTCGATTGCATTCGAACGCTGTCGATTGCGAAAAAAAATTTAATAAAAATATGAGAAAAAACATGATGTAATAAGAGGCAAATAAAAAAATTTCATCCACATCATTTTATATATGTATTTTATTTTTAGTCTCCATCCATCCATCCTATACCTCGACGCGCTAATAAAAAACTGCGTCATAAAAAAAAGGATCCATTTCTTCTATCCTTTCTTCACTCATATCACGCGCTCTATCGCCTACAAAGCATACTACGTTATAATATCAGTCGCGTTATTAATCTGACACATGTTAGATAATAATTGTGTCATGTAAAGCGTCATGCACGCTCTATCTTTCTCTAACGTGAGAACCCTTGTTATCTACGCATTTTTTTGGGGTGGACGCGGAGGCCCGCAACAGAGGCGGTGGCGGCGGCGGTGGCGACGGCGGATGAAAAACAATAAGGAATGCATTGTTTATGTGGGGGTCCTATTACAACGATGTCGCCGGGACTTCCTGCGCCTTCCTCGTCTACCGCGCCTTCCCCCTCTACCGCGCCTTCCTCCTCTACCGCACCTTCCCCCTCTACCGCGCCTTCCTCCGCTCGCGCTCCCCCGGCGCCTACGAGTTCCGCCCGCGCCCCGCGCTCCCCTCAGAGGACCTGGGTTAGAACCCGCCTATTACAACTACTAAATCAATCTCGATGTATGTAAATATCATCATAACTTGTTTCAAGCTAAAAAGCAGTTACTGTAATAAATCAATGCAATAATAGAGACTTATATTCTTGACACATCGTTTGGAAAGTGAAATCTTCTGCAGCAATATTAGAAGAATGAACAACTACTCTACTTTGTTAGTCTTTAATATATTATTTTTATGTAAAAAAAATCTTATCTGAAGATACTGCACAATCAAAGCATTGTGCGTTTTTAATTTTATTTTCTTTTTCATCAATTGTTAATTCGACGGCATACGCTTTAGTTCTGACTTTGTGTTCAGAGCATATTTTGGCATGAATAATACACATTGTTTTCTAGCTACATATCTCTACATATCCAATTGCAGCATCACCATATCGTTCCTGACTTGCTCTAAAAAATAAAATAATCCGAATTTAATTATTTATATTTTAAAAAATCGAGCACAGAATATATAAGGTGTAGTAAAAAGAAATCTATTATTTTTCCAATAGATGGCTTTAGTAATCTGTATCTCGCGTTGTATAAGTGCGATCGGATTACGCCAAATGGCGTTAGAAAGATAAGATTTCGTACTAAAAAAAACTTCTCAGACAGTTTTGTGATTGCTTGAGTCAGTATTGTTTGAGCGCGTGTCAAAGATGGACACCAACAAAGAGAAAATACGCCATATTTTACAGTTTTTCTTCGATAAAGGCGAAAACACAAGCCAGGCGGCTGAAAATGTGAATAGTGTTTATGGTCCTGATACTGTAACAGTCAATATCGCGCAATTTTGGTTTCGTCGATTCCGTTCCGGTAATTTTGATGTCAAAGATGCACCACGCTCTGGAAGGCCAATTGTCGAAAATGTCGATAAAATAATGGAAATCGTCGAGTCCGACCGTCATGTAAGCACTGTTTCGATTGCCCAGGAGCTAAACATTGCACAAAAAACCGTTTGGAACCATTTAAATAAGGCTGGATACAAAAAGAAGCTCGATGTATGGGTGCCACACGAGTTAACGCAAAAAAACCTCATGGACCGAATTTCCATCTGCGAATCGCTGCTGAATCGCAACAAAATCGACCCATTTCTGAAGCGAATGGTTACTGGTGATGAAAAGTGGGTCACTTACGACAACGTCAAGCGACGGTCGTGGTCGAATCGCGATGAGCCGGCGCAAACGGTGGCCAAGCCAGGATTGACGATCAGGAAGGTTTTGCTGTGTGTTTGGTGGGATTGGCAGGGAATCATCTACTATGAGCTGCTCCCCTACGGCCAAACTCTTAATTCGGACCTGTACTGTCAACAATTGGACCGTCTGAAAGAAGCAATCGCCCAGAAGCGGCCAGCTTTGGCCAATAGGAGAGGAATTGTGTTCCATCAAGACAACGCCAGGCCACACACATCGATAGTGACTCGCCAGAAGCTCCGGGAGCTTGGTTGGGAGGTTCTTATGCATCCACCTTATAGTCCGGACCTGGCACCAAGTGATTACCACCTGTTCCTGTCTATGGCGAATGATTTTGCTGGTGAAAAATTCGCCTCAAGAGAAGCTTGTGAAAATCGACTGTCCCAGTTTTTTGCCAATAGGGACGAGGGTTTCTATGAGAGAGGCATAATGAAATTACCTTCAAAATGGCAACAAGTTATCGAACAAAACGGTGCATATTTGACCTAAATCGGATCATTCTAACTATGCTAAATAAAGCCTTCAATTTAATGCAAAAATAATAGATTTCTTTTTACTACACCTTATATATCATAGCTATTTGACAGATATAACGAAAAAAGATAGAATTTATCATTTTAATATGACATTTTATATCGTTTTTAATTGTACATTAATCATAATATAAATAAAGTTATA